CAATACAGGCCAATAGGAAGCTTTACTACAGAATACTTTCTACAACTTTAAAATAATAATCTTTTTTGTTATTTGAGAATTTCAGATATGTATATAGTGTGTTTTGATCAAATCAGATCCCCTTCCTCTCCAACTCCTCCCCTCCCCACTTTTCTTTCCCAAATTTATGTGCAAAGTCACAGAGGTCATTCAGTGTTGCTTGTATGTACATGGATGTAGGGTTATTTGTTGGAGCATGGGTAGCCTCTCAAGGGCTTCTGCCCTGCCCCATCATACCCTCCCTGCCCCCTCCCCACCAAAAAAACCCCAAACGCTGACTTTCCCTTGCCCAGTAGCAGTAGCAATAGCCTCTCAGCTAGGGGTGAGAATTCCTTAACTGCCCCTCCCCCATGCTGGTCTATGGCTGGTCTGATCTTGTGCAGGTCATGTGACCTTTCCAGAGCTTTGATTGCCTCATTTTAGAAACCAAAGAAGTCCTCTAGCAGATCTTTTCTTTTCTAGTTTTTCTGCTTTCCTCTTTCCTTCCTTCGATTTATTAATTAGTCTATAGGCAGCATGACATCATGTACTCCATGCTGGCCTTGAACTTGAAATCTTCCTCCATAATTTTATCTATCTATCTATCTATCTATCTATCTATCTATCTATCTATCTGTCTGTCTGTCTAGCATTTCCTGAACTGCATAGCTGGGCAAATAAAGCCATTCCTTTTTTTTTTTTTTTTCAAATTTAACTTTTTATTGATTCTTTGTGGATTTCACATCATACATCTAGATCCCACTCACCTCCCAGTCCCTTCCTATCTGCCCTCTACCTGTCCAACTGTCCCTCTACCCAGGATAAAACAAGATAACATTTTTTTTTTTTGAGACAGGGTTTCTCTGTGTAGCTTTGGAGACTTTTCTGGATCTCACTCTGTAGCCCAGGCTGGCCTTGAACTCATAGAGATCTGCCTGCCTCTGCCTCCCGAGTGCTGGGATTAAAGGCATGCAAAACTACCACTAGGCACAAGATAACATTTAAAAGAAAAAGAAAAGAAAAATCTCTTCGTGGAAGCTATAGTGTGACACAGTGAGTCACACAGTCTTTTAGTCCATATATTTTGACTTGCAAGTGTTCATTACATTGAGTTATTGGTCTGGCTTGAGGTCTCTGGTTTTTGCTTTTGCTACATCATCGATACTGAACCCTCACTGTGGCTCCTCTTCGATATTCTGCTGTTTATCTATGTCATGGAGATCCTGTAACTTTGAGTCTGCAGGACCAGCCCCTTCACATGCTCCAGTAGACTATAGATGGGGTGAATGATGGGATGCACCAACTCATAGCTCTGGTTCTGGGTCTGGGTGTTTGCTGGGTTGGTCAGCCCACCTGGTCTCCCTCATCCTCAATGCCAGGGTGAGCTGTCCAGTACTGCCCCATGTAGTAAACAGCTATTACCTTGTGTAGTAAACAGCAAGGTGCGGGGCCAGTTCTCCTGCTCTCCTATCCTTGGGGTCAACTCTACTGTTTGCCCAAGTGAGGTACAGGGCCCACTCTCCTTAGTTCTGTATCTGGTGAGGGGCAGGATCAACTCTCTCATCTGCAGCAGGTGACACAGAGCGAGGGGGAGGGCATCTTTTTCTCTCCCCCACTACCACATGGCAGACAAGTGGTGCAGGGCCAGCTCTCACACTCTTACAACCTCAGGGCAGGCTCACCTGCACCCCCAAGTGCACAGTTGGCACCACTGAGTTGCCCAGGTGAGGTGCAGGGCCTGCTTTCCTGAGTATTGCAGCTGGTGAGATGCTGGGCCAGCTCACTGGTTCTCTTGACCTCAGGGCCAACTCTCTCACATGCCACAGGTGGTGATAGGTGGGGGAGGGGAGAACATCTTCCCTTTTTTCACAACACCATATAGCAGATGAGGGGCAGGGCCAGATCTCCCATGCTCATGTTCCAAGGCCAGCTCGCCCACATCCTTCTCAACAGGGTCAGCTCCATTGAGCTGTCTAGGCAAGGTACAGGGCCTGCTCCCCTCGTGCTATAGCTGGTGAGGTAAAGGATCAGCTCTCCCACCTGCCACGGGGCATGGTGGGGTATCTTTCCCTCAATGTCACCACCACATGAAAGCCATTCCTTTTTAACACTTGTTTACAGCCATCACTTTCTGGTTCTCGTGTGCCCGATATAATAATGCTATGTGGACGTTTTATACAATTGACAAATTACCACAATTTTAAAAGCTATGCCAAAATCTCTGCATTTGTGAGCCAAACGTGGATAGCTAAACTGGGGATCTTGAGTGAGAGCATATATTCAGTCTGAGGGGAAAAAGGGTATTCTTCTTTGCCTTTCTTGTCCGGGAGGGTAGAGTACATTAATGATAAAACGTTATGATTATTAGGTCATGTTTAATAATTAAAGATTTATAAATATGGGAAAATAAAAAAGTCAGTTCATCAAATGAAAATGGGACATGGCACTTCATCTTTTGTTTGTTTGTTTGTCTTGTTTTGTTTTGTTTTTTTGAGACAGGATTTCTTTGTGTAACACCCCTAGCTGTCCTGGAACTCACTCTGTAGACCAGGTGGACTTGAACTCATAGAGATTTGACTGCCTCTGCCTTCGGGGGTCCTGGGACTAAAGGCGTGCATTACCACCGCTCGTCAGCACTTCATCTTAAAATATGACTTTATGCCTTTGTTTTCCTTTAAATTTATTACAATGAAGTCAGGTTTGGACATCACACTGCAATATTTGTTCCAAATGGCAATACTCACATGCTAACAAGCGTGTTTAAAGAAAGTCTCTCAAGTAACTGCAGCTCCAGTTATAATGATAGTTAAAAAATTGTTAAAATCATAGCAAAGTCTCATTAATGAGAAAAACCACACTTTGTTCAGCAGGATGCTGAGAAAAAAGTGGGAGATACTTCAGTTATGCATATTTTCACTTTGTAGTTCCAAGGAACTACATCAAATTCATAGGTCATATGCTGACTTTCCTTGGCATTCTCTCATCTCAGTCCTACCTGACCTCAATCCTTTCGGAGCATATGAGTATTTTTAGGTAAAATTGTAGAAAACTAAATGAAAGGAAATGATAAAGCTGGACCAGTGTAGGTTTTTAGGGTAATAGGACTGTTATTGTTTTGTTTATTTTTTAAATTAATTTACTGTTTATGTGTGAGGGTTTAGCCTGCATTTCTGTCTGTGCAGCACCTGTGTCTCCAGTGTTCACAGACACTTCCCCGGCACTGGTGTTAGAGAAAGTTGTGAGTCGCCACATGGGTGCTGGGAATTGAAATCTGGTCCTTTGGAAGAGCAGTCAGTGCTTTTATTGCTGAGTAAACTCTTACCCCTCATTTTATTATTTTTAATACATTGTGATTTTTTTATGGAAGAAAGGTTTTTTTTGGCTTTCTTGATATTACTGTAAAATTCTTTTGTATAATTGAGTTGCTACACATATTGCCTCTCATTTAACTGTCCTTGGCTACTAGAAATTTATTATACATAGTACCAGAAGTAATAATAGCAATTGCCACTGACTGAAGATTATAATGTGACACACTAAGAATATTCACACACATGTGTTTGCACTTACACACACACATACACACAAAGGAAGTTATTCTTCCTAGTTACAGGAGGGAGCACAGGAGGAGCTCTGGTTCCTCATGTGACAACTCATGGCTTCTATGACAATGCTGAAATTCAAACCCAGGTTCTTAAGGTCTCCAGTCAGTGCTTTCCATGGTCATTGCAATTCCTTCTCACACTGACAGTTCTCAAAGATATGAGGAAAATTATATAAGGACAACAGGTTGGCTTCTTAACCTTTCAAGTGATAATCAAAATATTCCATTCATTACAAACAGTTTCCAAACAAATTCTCCTATAAATTAAATGCAAACAATCACCACCCTGATAATGCTTTCTGAGCTTCCTAAAATAACAGGCTAGGAGATTATGAATAAAGAGAATGATAATGTGAGCTCTAAACTGACACATCTCTTTGAAACACAACTAATTTTATATCTTAGCTGAAGAAACTCAGATTGTATCCACAGTCAGAGAACTAGCCACCACAAGAAAGCCACCACAGTGTCTCTGTTCCTAGGCTGCTAATGAATCCTAGTGTTGAAGATAAATATTTACATCTTTAAAAGTCAGTAACATTCTCTTTTGGGTCACAGCTTTCCAGGATTAATAAAATGTCATATTTTAATAACACAGACAAATACTGTAGCATTAATAATATAGCTGAGACTAAAATCCTTATCATCCTATTAGTACAGATGGTATATGAGTCTCTTCAATTAAATAATACATTTAATTGATAATGCAGTGGGTGATGTGCAAAAAAAAATTCTTTGAGCTATGTCTTGAGAGGTAATCTTGGTTGGTAAGATAGTGATAGAGCCGGTAACAAATTAGAAAAGCTCCCTACTACTAGAACCAAAGAAAAGTGTGTACGTAATTACTCATATATTCGTGTAAGCTGATTTTGCCTTCTAATGATTTTGTGATACAGAAAATATAAATCATGGAAACATTTCAATATCAAGCAAGGAAAGAACAGATCAGACACGCATTATATTTAAAATGAGATACACATACAGGAGTAGTCCATAAATTCACTTAAAAACACTTGTAATATCTTCATTTGTGATAGGAAGTCAGGAGAACCCAAGCTGTGATTATCACATAAGCAGCTAAATGAGATTCGGTACACAGAATACAAGTGAAATTGTAGATATATTTAATTTTAGGGTAAAATTTCCTTATCCTTCTTTTGAATAATTTCTAATTTTCTATGTCCTATTGCACGTTGGTCAGACTGTTTGCTGTAGGCCTAACTCAACAGACATCCCCTGGTAGAAAAATAATAGTTACAGCCAAGTAGTATTAGTAGTAGTATTGGCCAAGAAGTGATGGTATTCATACTTTAAAAACACACAGAATACGACTTTAGGCATAACAGCGTAGTTGACACTGAAGGAGAATCAACTCTACCTTGCATTCTGGACAACCATGACTTGACTGCATTGATTCCAGAAGCCAGAGGAAAGGGTACAGCAGGAAAGAGGGAAAGACAGGAAGAAAAAAGTTAGGAGCAGAAATAGACAGGAGTATGAGCATAGCAACCGCAGAAGCAATGCCTAGCATGAAACTGGCTTGAGCAGATGATAACTTAGCACTGCAGTGAAACAACTCTCACACGTCCATTAATCCCAGTTACTCGGCCACTCAGTAACTAGTGATACCTTAACGACAGACCGGGAATTGAACAGTTAGCCACACTGGAGCTGAATCCCACTCAGTGAGGGACGGCTGGAAGAACTATAGGGGGTAGTAGTATTGGGTGTGTATTTTTTGTCTATCTCACTCTACTTTTTATGCTTCCCAGCTAAGTATTAAAGAGCTGTCCTGATTTCCACCTAAGTCACGCCATGCATAAATATTAGTGTTCTTGTGTAGCATAAAAAATGACCCCAAGGGCCACCATCAGGGAAGACGGAAAATGAGTGACAGCACCTTCCCTTAATCCACTAAAATACTTAGAGACAAATCCCTTGGAGTAATTTTCCATAACTTCCTAATTTCTTTAAAGAACACAAAAGTTCTCATGACCAAAATCAAAGTTTTTATTGTTTGTTTTTTTTGTCAGACTCCCCTTAAAAGATGGGGCCAACTTGTATACACAACTATATAAACTTGATAATTAATTAAAATAAAAGATTCTCTTTCCTGGGTTATGTGGCTATTTTATTGATTGTTCATAAAAATTACTGAGGATTTCAAAAATCCTTAAGAAAATAATATTAGACAAACCACACCAACAATTCTAACTTTCTAAAAGGAATTCTTGGGGTAGGTGTATGGAATCAGAGCAGGTATACTGTTTGTGATTTATTCTCTCTGCATTATCTGATTTCTTTCCATTGACAAATTAAAAATTATGATTGTGCTCTCTTAATATTGACAAGGAAACTGAGTATCACAGAACTTGGGATCTGCCTGCAGTGACTCAGGAAGAAAACAACAGACTCACAGCAGCACCCATGTAACTCTAATATGGCTCCTTTTCAGACAAACCAGTCAGGGTCGGATCACACACTTGTGCAATTTGGCTGCTTTTAAGTCTGTTGAGGCTTTGCAGCACACAACGTAGTTCTGCAGAATGTTTGATATGTACTTAAAAGCATTTGTAGTTGATGGGTAGGGTGTTCTAAAAACACCAGTGAGGTCCTCAAGCCAACTAAAATATTATGAAAGATATTATTGAGGAAATGAAGAAATTATTTGTGAATTTTAAATGAATTATTATTTAAAGATATATATTGAAATATTTGCAAAAACAGTTAATTGCTGGGATTTTTTTCAAAATGATCTGGATGTAGAAAGCATATAAGAGTAAGTGTAAAATCTAACTGACTAGTAAGCAAAAGCTTTTGAAAATAAAGGATAGTCAGCCACCAGACTACTCCCTCTGCTTCTGTATTATACTTAAAAATTTCCAAGCAAAAATCAATACTCAAATATTTCCTCCAAATTCAAGAGAAATGAAACGAATGTTGCCATCAGCTGAGGAAGTTTTTCAATATATCTCCATTTGTTGACTGTTCATGGTTCCACAATATTAACTTGGCTATTATAAATATCTTAGATAAGGTACAATGATTTGTGGAGGTCAAGTCTCTGCGCTAAACCATTCTCAAGTACTTGTTCATATACTAGAACATTGCTATTAGCATCAATTATGTGATTAATTTTATGAATCATCAAAGAGCACATCTTTTACTTAGTATTTTTATTTGGTGCTGGGGATTGAAGTACTCTGGTATGTTAAACACATACCTTGTCATGGAGTTAGACCACAAGACCACAGCACTTACTTTATATCATCAATGTACAGATCCCAGAAAAGACTCAATGTAAGTTATCCACCACAATTTCTTAAATGCTTTTAGAATTAATCTGACCACACAGCACAAGAGTGGTTCCCACAACTAAAACACTGCTTACTCCCAGGGAGACGGACTTCATTCTGGCCACTGCTCTCTCAGACTTCGTTTAAAATTTTAATTCAACTGTGTCTACTAATTAGAAATAAATATGACAGCAAAAGCAGACAAGGACAGGGTAAGAGGAGCAGTCCAGGTTAGGCTTGGAAATTGAAGAGTGGAAGATGCTCTTAGGGTTGTTTAGACTGTGGGCCCTGGTACTCAGAAGACAACGCCTCTTTACTTACCCTCGCCCCGGAAGTAGGTACACCTTAACAAAAGGGTCAGAGTAGCCATTGTTGTCTCTAGGGACAAGATTTCTTGCTTGAAGAATATGTATTATAAGATTTCCAAGATCATAGTTGATTTGAAGCTTTAGGATGTAGAAATCCATGAAAAAAACATGTGAAACAGTATCATTTCATCATTTCATACTTTACTAGTTCTTTCAACACTTTATTAGAAGTTACCTACTTCATTTCAATTTTACTTGAAACTAAACAGTTAGTGTGCCCAGTTTATCCAAAAGCTCACAGTCATGTCTGGATTTCTAATAAATATAATGTTCATGTTTCCAAGACTCTGCACAGAGAAGAGTCTTGGCCTACTTAAAGTTCATTTAGAAGGAAAACAATACAGTAAATTTTTGTTATATTTTCATAATGAAAATTTATTCATAGCAAAATAATATACCCCACTTATATTCATTATTGCAATTACTAGGGTTTTGAAAATTATTTGTAAATGTATATAAAATGGCATTGACATTTCATCAATGAACGGTGAGAAGAAAGCTTATGTGGAGAAGATTCTATCAGTATTGAGATAAAAAAATTTAAAAAAAGAATAGATTTCATTTTTCTTAATTTCTCTGAGATTGAGCATGTAGTTTTTCTTTCTGAACAACTACTTATAAAGTAGGAGACTAGGATGATATTAACTTACTCTTTTGCTTTAAAAGTTGAAGAAGAAAGATGAATCATATCTTTAAGATGCTTATTAGATATATTGCCATCAAAGAACAAGATTTATAAATCAGGTAATTATTCGAGAAACTGTCATAATCTAAAATTATTGAGCTTAATAGTTTTCTCTTTTACCATTGAAGGATTCTTTTGTAATTATTTAGATGAAGTCTTAATTTCCTTTAGGTTTTCCAAGTAGTAGAAATGAAAAGAACTGTATTTAAGGAGGGAACTTATGTGTAAAAATACTGACTTTTTAAAATAATTCACAGAAAACATATACACAGTGTTTATACAGGATCAAATCTTGACTTTAAAGTTTCATAATTAATATACAGCTATCATTTGGCACAATTTTGATTTGTGCATGTTTCTCAATAGAAAACAAGTCTTTAATTGCATGATTCCACAGGGAAAAGCCGAGGTCTCTCTGACAAGCATGAAAAATGTGTGAATCGACAAAGTCATCTGTCCTAAGGGGCAAACAAAGACAGGAATTTTGGAACTGCATGCTATGACAGGACACAGGAACACAGAGGTAAATAATTCACATTTAGCTTTCTCTGAAGTTCATTTTCATTTGACACTGAACTTCATCTATTTCTCACTGACATGGAAACCTGAAGGTCACCTTGAAAGACTGCTTTTTAAAATGTTCCCCATTCATTTAGAAAGACCTCCAAGGAGCTCAGGGGTCAGACCAGTGTGGGCATGCTCACACACAGGGGCTCTAGTGCCCACATCTTTATGATTACAATTCTGTGTGTGCCATGGGAATCAGGCTTTGCCACACAAGGGGAAATAATTGAAACACCATCTTTCGGGATATTCTAACTCAGAGGTTCTCAACCTGTGGGGTACGACCTCTTTGGCAAACCTCTACCTCAAAAAATGTTTACACTAGGGTTCATAACAGCAAATTTACAGTTATGAAGTAGCAACAAAAATAATTTTATGTTTGGGGGTCACCACACATGAGGAACTGTATTAAAGGGTCACAGCGTTAGTAAAGTTGAGAACTACAGTTAACTGCTAAGAGGCATTTGTGTCAGGTAAATCTCAACTTCAGAATTATGTCTTACTGCTGAAGGATTCGATGCAGGAGAAGAAACAAGGGAACATCAAACCCAACAGAAACAGCAAACATCTGTCTAAAGGTAAGAAGTTAAAAATGTAGGCAAAAACTAGTAAGAATCAAAAGCTGGAGTCCTCCCAGTGTTGCCTGTGGAGGGACAGAAGGAAGGTCTGGTAAAAAGATTGGCACCTGCACAGGGACACCAAGGTCAGAAATGCACAGCAGGGCATGCACAGTTTCACCGGTTCTGTCCCCCGAGGCGCTCTGGGACGCCCCTCTGCATTCTCACAGCTTCACGTTAGCTTTTTCCTGTGTGTGCAATCACTCCCCAGTCTGTGTATCCTTGTTCTTGTAATACTTTCTGTAGGCTATACACAGCTTTTTATTATGCTTCCCCCATCACTCTGCCCATCCCTCTAAAACATGTAATACTATATTACATGAGGGAGAATTCACCTCTGCTTTCATCCAAGGTTCTTTCTGGAGGGGTCAGCCTCTCAAAGCTGATTCCGTCATTGCTTTACTCCGAATGCAGCAGCTTTCTGTGTATTACTGCTTCCAGTAACACATTTCCCCCTTCTCTATGCTTATTGAAACATTCGTCCACATTTCTGCTACACAGTGAAGTCTTTGTGAGAATTTCTTTTACACCATATTGGAAACACACCTGTTTTTCCTTATTGGAACCTTGCTGTCCTCTGATAGCTAATTTGTACTGTGTTAATTTCTATGTGACGTTTCTCATCTCATCTACCTAGAATTAATTTTTGATATTGCCTAAAGCCAAGTTTTAAAAACATGTTATTGTGACTCACACTAATATCTAAACTGTGATAATATAGTATGCAAATATAAAATTATATGCAGTACAAAAGTAACAATTTTTATTCTATTTTCCAGTTAAAATATTTACCTTATGAATGACAAAGTTATTATGACTTGCAATATGAAAAAACTTCCCTATGATGTTGTTTATCAATTAATTAGAAACCAATGATTTAACAAGAGATATCATTGGACTCATGAAGCTTGAAGACGGGCCTTCAGGTGTTTGGAAGGAGAAGTTGGGTGTGAAATGCTCAACAAGTACACACTAGCTGAAGGTCAGTGTCTACTGACTGAGGATTTTACAGTCTGGAATTTCAGACCTGTGACTAGTTTCTACACACACACACACACACACACACACACACACACACACACACACACAAGCACACAAACACACATGGACATGCTATGCTGTAACATTGTGTTTCCTACACAGTTTTGTATATGTTATAGAAAATGAAAGATCCAAACAGACTTAGAAATTCAAATAGATAAAGGATAAAAACAGAAAAAATGATAGAATGATGATATTAAAAGTTTTTCATACCTGAATTTCTCCTGTAATTGGATGAGAGGCAACCTTTGCTGCATCAGTCGGCTGTAATAATAAAGACCACATATTACATTAATAAATAAAGTATTCATAGGTGTTCTTATCTTAACTGTCTTTTGAAATTAACTTCAGTTGGTTATAGCACACTGCCTACAAAATACATTTGATCCATTTGGTTGCTTCCAAATTATAGCATCTACTTATAATTCTCATATTTATTTAAGTTTATGGATACATAAATCTATTTTTCATTTTGTAAAACCTGTATTGAAGTCATGATTTTATATCATCAGTATTCTCAATTACTTACAAAATGAATACTTTTTGTTCAAAGCATTTTGACTAGGTATTTAGAGATTTTGAAAAGCTATTTAGTAATGAGACAGTGTTTATGTAAGACTGCCTAGGAGCGTAGAAGCTGCAGTCAAATTCATGTCCCATGCTCCTCCTCTTCTAGCTCACTGCACAGTGAAGCACCCAAGAAACGTTTTCCTATGAACAGGTCATCTTGAGTTAAAATTCAGATAAGTTTTCATTTCCCTCATAAGTCCTTAGGCAAATGGAGCTGTCAAAGCAGTTCAGAAAGTAATCTATGGGTCAGATGCGGTGGCATACACCTTACACACCTTTAATCCCGGCAGTCAAGAGGCAGAGGTTGGTGGACCACTGTGAATTCAAAGCCAGCCAGGTCTAGATAGTGAAGTTCCCAGCCAGCCAATGTTACACAGGGAAACTCTTTCTCAAAATAATAAATAAATATATAAATAATAAAATAAATTAATTAATTAATTAAAAGAAGTGATCTTGTAAACTAATTTATGCTGCTGAATAAATGGTTGTTTATGAATTTGTTACATTTCCTTTATATTTCTTTTTTTTCCTTTTTTTTTTTTTTTTTTTTTTGGTTTTTCAAGACAGGGTTTCTCTGTGTAGCTTTGCGCCTTTCCTGTATCTCACTCTGTACCAGGTTGGCCTCGAACTCACAAAGATCCGCCTGCCTCTGCCTCCCGAGTGCTGGGATTTAAGGCGTGCGCCACCACCACCTGGCTCCTTTATATTTCTATATATAAAGAGAGATGATATCTCTGCCCCCAAGTCTACGATAGAACATTAGGTAGTATGGCATCAACGTAGAATAAAAATCACCTTACACATTAAAGCCTATCTACTTATTTTCATGGGAAACTGGATTTCTTTTAGTAATTGAATGGAAAAACTAAAATATCCATTATAGTATCTTCATATACTTGTTTAGCTACTTTTTAAATATAATTTTATCTCATAATGAGCATACTAAAAAAAAAAAGTAACTCTATGTCAATCAAAGAATAAACTTAATGGAACCACTGGTGGGGTCAAGGGGTTACACTCAACTCCATATCTTGTAGTAGCTCAGCTCACTCAAAGCCTATGCCCTCTATTAACATTGAAACTCTGCTGGCCTTCAAACGATTAATGTTTGCTACTAAATAATCAGATTTATTTAGTATGTATTCTATTTTAAATTAATAAAACAAGAAAACTAAACAGTGAAAAGGTTTCCATGCAAATGCCTAGACGTGTTTATACATTGAAAAAACAGCTTGGGCTTTCTCAAGTATCCTTGATTCATTAAAAAATGGACCAGATTCAGGAGGAAAATAAGCTTGTCTTATTTACGCACTCCTGGTTCTGCTATGAAGATAACAGGAACTTTTAAATTTCGGAGGATAAATGGCATATTCATATTGGATATTGTGAAAATTACAGTAGTTTGAGTTTACAGACCCCTGTAGTCCTTTTAAATGAGTAATGTGTTTTGAAGCTAGTTTTATTAACTGTTGTATTAAAACAACTACTTCAAGGAAACCAATGGGTTGGTACTTTGGAGCAGGTAATGGGGTATTACTGTGTAATGAGTCTGAGAAGCTGTGCATTGCTCTTCAGGTGCACAGGTCCCACAGACATGTAACTGCTAGAAGAGAATAAAAACAGTGTTTTAATTTCACATGAAGGTTTTAAAAAAACTACTAGGATTTAGGATATAGATAATTCTTAAATTGTTTAGCACTAATTATTTCATGAATAGGCCTATTATTGGTATGGAAAACTTAGCACAGCTGGTTTTGAATTTTATCATCTCTTTCCCCATAATTATATTTTATTCTGTCATATATTAAATATTGCATTCTATTTCACAAGTTCATTTACTTATTTTTTTACTTCCCCCCACAATAGGTCCAAATACATGTTCTTCAAATAACTAACTAAATTTCAAATGTGTGAGACTTCTTTTTACCAAATCCTACTAGAGTGTTGAGGGTATCATGACAGCAAATTCCTATTGCATAAGAACATATAAAACTAACATGTACTTCAGTTAAGTTATTTACACCAAGATTTAGAAGACCATATTTTAAAGATAAAAACAAAGACAGGTTAGAATTCCAGTGCTAAAACCTTTCAAGACAAAACTGTACACTTAAGTAGATAAAGCAAAATAATAAATTAAAATAGTTTATATATTTGCTTGTGGGTTTTTATTGTTAAATCAAGGAGATTGAAATTCTGTTGTATTTTATATAAGCATCATGTAAAAATTACTAACTAATGTTCTAATAAAGTATATCCTTTCAAGAATAACTATTAAATGGTTTTAAAATATATAAAACAATTCTGTGTATCATTATATAATTTTAAGTTTTATTAAAATAAGTAGAATTCATAGATGATATACATTATTCAAAAGCAACCATCCAAAATATTGTTAATGTTCCAGCAATTATTTACACATAATCACTTAAATGTGGGAGGAATGCTCAACAGTGGCCTGGGGAAAGACTTTTTTCTGTGACCCCAAGTTAACAGACAGTGAAAGCTACAATTGGCAAATGCAATTAAATAGGACTTACATCTTCTGCCTCGCTAAGAAAAGAAACAAACACACTCCTCTGAACAGAGAACATCAGTAAAATATATCCAACAAACAATTAATTTCCTCAATATATAAGGAACTTCAAAAATTTAATACTACAAAACAAATAATCATAAAAAATGGACCATAGTCCTAAATAGGTATCTGTCAAAAAAGAAGTTATATCAACTGGTCAGGTCTATTAAAAAAAAAAATTCCCGGGCCGGGCGGTAGTGGCGCATGCCTTTAATCCCAGCACTCGGGAGGCAGAGCCAGGCGGATCTCTGTGAGTTCAAGGCCAGCCTGGTCTCCAAAGCGAGTTCCAGGAAAGGCGCAAAGCTACACAGAGAAACCCTGTCTCGAAAAACAAAAAAACAAAAAACAAAAAACAAACAAACAAACAAAATTCCCAGCATATCCCATCCCCCTGTCCAGGAAGTGCAAATCAGACCAACCATGGAGATCAACCCTACATACACTCTCAAAGGAATGGTTATATTAAAAAGACTATGATGAAAAGTACTGGGAAGGCCGAGGTGAAAAAGAGCCATTGAGCATGGTTGGTGGGAGTGTAAATTAGCACAGTCATTTAAAAAACAGCACGATATATCCTAAAACAAGAATAGGCTCCAGAAATCAATTCCTGGCCACACATCTAAGGAAATGGAACCTGTATTTGAAGAGGCCTTTGCCTGCCCACATCTATTTCAGCAGTATTAACACTGGCCAAGTAACAGAAGCATCAGTTCATCAACCGATGAATAAGGATAAAGAAAATGTGACTCCCTAGCTGTCATACAATCCCTCCCCCATTTCTTGAGGAGGACTCCCGGCCCTGGCCCACTGCTTGGCTGTGGATCTCTGCATCTACTTCCATTAGTGACTGGGTAAAAGCTCTCTGATGACAATCAGGGTAGTCACCAATCTGATTACAGGAGATGACCAGTTAAGGCATCTTCTCCACTATTGTTAGGAGTCTAGGCTGGGTCATCCTTGTGGATTCCTGGGAGTTTCCCTGGCACCAGGTTTCTCCTGGGGGAGGAGACTGTCCTGCATCAGCTTGATGCTTGTTGACACCCACTGGAGGCTTTACCCTTTCTGAATGGAGACAGAGGAAAAAGTGTGTGTGTGTGGGGGGGGGTAGAGGGGAGGTGTTGGGGGTATGTGTGTGAAGAGAGGAATAAGGGGAACTGAGATCAGATGTAAAATAAATGAAAAAATTTAATTAATAAATAAAAATATAATTAAAAAAGAAAATGTGACATATACCTGATGGCATACTATTGAGATATCAAAAAATGTAAAATCCTATTGTTTGTAGGATCTATTAAGTAAAAAAAAAATAAGCCAAGTGCAGAAAGACAAGTACTACATGACTTACTCACATGTGGAATCTAAACTCAATTTTTCCTGAATTAGAGACTGGAGTGGTGATTTATCAGAGAGAAGGTAGAGGGAAGAGAAGGAGGGAGTGAGATGAGAATCAGATCCAGAGTTCTACTGATTAGCAATAGTGGAGTATTTACCTAAAACATTTAGAAGAATGGATGTTGAATATGTCCAATATGAATAAACAGTAATAATCACATGTGATGAATATGCTCATTACTCTGAGAAGATCATCCCAGGATATACTAGAAGAAAAAGATTGCAAAAGTGCCAGTATGATGGCTCCGTGTGTAAAAGGGCTTGCAGCCCAGCCTGACAAGCAGGGACTCCATGTCTGAATAAAAAACTCTGACTTCCACACATGCGCTATGGTATGCATATGCCTACTGCTACCTGCACAAAATAAAAAAATAAATAAGACAATCAAAATATATTGTAAGAAAATAAGGAAACAACTCACAAAATACCCCACAAATGCATGTAAATATTTTAATCTAAGTCATCTAATAAAAATGTTTAATAGATGTAAACATCTAAACATATACTGATATTAATTATAATTTAATTTAGATTTAGTATATTATCTTATGCAATTCAATTGGATTTTATATTTAATTTAGTTAGTTTTATGTCTACAGAAATAAAAATATTTAAAACCCTAATTCTGTATATTATCTTAAGAACATATGGCATGTCTAGCTTTGCTGTTGCCTGGCATTAGGGTATGAAAGCTTCAGAAAACTCTATGCTTTTAGCATGTAGGAGACAGGAAACAAATGATAATTCAAAATGTCAGCTATTTACAAATATATTATTTAGCAAATGGTACCTGCTAAAAATAAGTCAAAGAAAGAAACAAAAGACTAATAGGTAATAGATCCTGTCTCTAAGGTAAACCTTCACATTTTCACTTAAACACACACACACACACACACACACACACACACACTACATATATGTCCAAAATAAGCAGATTTGATTAATGTCACTGCTAAGAGTTAAGCAATCTCTGTACTAGAACTAACCAATGGAGTAGATTTATGAGTCACAGAAGTAATTAAAAATTCCTAATAATCACACTAAAATCAAACAAGAAATATTATAATAATATTTATATTCATCCTAAATATCATCACTTCACCATTTTAGCAAAATAAACATTGTTTTGAGATATTTCAGTCTTTTTTTCACACAAAGTCACTGGAATTTGGCCTGCAATTCACACAGATGTCAACTGAGACCAGCTCCATGTGATTAGCAGTTATTCTTTGGACAATGGAACACTAGAACTATATATTTCAGCCAAACATCACAAAGCTACACAGACCCAAATTATTTGCAAATTAAAGAATGGTTACATGTCATACCAGCTGCCAATACCACTTTCCTAATGTTGTCCTGCATCAAGAGTTTCCAACTTCTAAACCATGGTCCCCAAAGCTAACATATTATAGTAAGGTGAACTTGTAAATTCATACCCATAACAAGAACAGGTTCCCAGGTGATCACTAACACTTTGATTGTTTGTTACTGTTCTGTGCAAGTCACTTAACTAAAACAAAAATAGTTATGTTTTATGGTGCCTGCAGCCAACATAGGAAATAAAGGAAGAGCCTGACCACCGCAGTCAATGTTTTTATTTATAAATTTATAAATGTCTTAAGAGACACAGAAAGAAGCTTTGGAAGTAAGAAGGGAGGATAGCAGGCAAGCAGGCAGGCTGGGAGGCTGGGAGTAAAGGAGGAGGAGAGGGAGGAAGAGAGGGGAGAAGAAGGAAGCAAGAAAGGATGGAAGGAGGGAAAAGAACACAGAAAGAAAGATTTCTAATGTCAGAAAGACTAACACACGAAGACTTCATAGGGGACGTGTCTTGTTAGTATCTTACCTTATGCCCATCACCAGCTCTGCATTTCCTACAGACTGTAGAGGAAAGGCTCAGCACAACCCTTCATGACTTTCAATATGCAACCATCTGCTTCTATATGATATTCACCCCTAAAGTACCTGTGAACAGCTATCCTCCAGACATGTAATTTTCTGTCTGAAACTCTTTTCACTCTGTTCTCTCTGGGAATGCTGACTCCTTTCTTCCTTTTACCTAAATTGGTTCATAAGCACCACTCTCCTAGGTGTCCTCACTCTACTTATACGCACTAAAGTTGGCTGAGCATCTTTTCATCTGTAATTACACCAGCGGTTCTCAAACTTTAAGGAGCACCATGCACAGCTGGAGACATTACAAAACCTAGGTTCCTGAGCTCAATTCGCACAGTTTTTGAAATAGTCAAGTCTGTGTAAAAAATGCAATTTTAACACATTCCCATATGGTGCTGTGCCAAATTTGGTGAACTGGGAACACGATTTAGAACTACTGGTCTCCTTGCAATGAGAGGGAGGGGATTTTTCCATCTTTGTACTCTGATAGAGCATGACGCCTGAAGCTGGATGGTCATGGACAGTGGCTGTGGAACATAAGCTGGAGTGGAAGGTTCATAAATGCAACGCTGATTACAAGGACATCAGGACAGACACAACAGCATCATGCCATCCATAATTTCTAAGAAAGGAAACCAATGTCCTTTCTAGGTTCTTTTAGAATGAGTAGCATAGGACCCTAGGAGAGATGGCACAGTGGACATTCAGGTACCAGGAATGCCTCTTAAATAGGAGAGTGACATGTCAGAAAAGTGACACTGCATTGTCGCCTGCTTTTCTAGGTTGAAGCACTAGTGCATGGTCCCCAGCAACTTTCAGGAACGAGAACTGGAAGTGTTTCCTGTAAAGACATGCACATGCAGAGCAACCCATGAGTTAGAACGGAATGACATTCAGAAGGGTGGTCCTGTGCTGCTGCTGTTTTTCTTCCTTTATGACCTAAGTTATTTCAATCTCTTTGTACTTTTTACTGAGAAAAATCTAGCAGAATATGTATCTTTTGTTTTCAAAAGGTCATAAAGCTAATGTTCTATATGGAAGGAAACAAGATTTGTGGAACAATAACCACCTGCTGCACATCAAAATCATGAAGTACCACATTGTTCAAAGTTGTCTTTCTAAAAACAGAAGTGTCTTAAGATGTGATTTTCTATCTGGCCCAGTCAGAATAGGGAAATATCTGTTTCAGTAGATCCTTAGGATATGACCCATCACAAGATTAAAAAGCCGGAAGTGGCCACTTGCCGTGACACGGGGCACGTCTCACCTTGCTGCTGCCATGCTTCTTTTTGCTCACAGAGGGTGATCCTGGCTGCCCAGGGCTGGGAACAGAACTGGATCCTGCTGATGTGGGACCTGAGTGAGCATGAGATCCTTTCTCCACGACTGACGACATGACCAGTGGTGACTGCTGGAGTGAGACCTTCTGCAGCTCGGCCGCCAACTGCTTGGGATCAACCCCTGGGGATTTTGCCTTATCCACTAGAACAAAACAAAAGGCTTTACATCTTGGGTCCATATGTCGGCCATATTGTAACAGTGACACTTGCTGGAGTTCTAGGTAATGACACCACATTATTTAAAGATTAAGTTAAAATTTTAAAATCAAATGTTCTCTATGGAAAAATTTATGTATCTATTTTTAGGGAACTCTAGAAGGCCCAGATAGGAGTGTTATAATGATGAATTACAATGAGAATCTGAAGTTCTATTACGTTTTCAGAAAAAATACTTTGAATATTTTATTGAGTGAACTCTGGGAATGACAAAACACCCTATTTTATCCCCCAAGAATTTGTTTGGATACATGTTTTCTCTCTTCTAAATGTTCCATATTTTGTTCTTTATGGAAGAAATTTCACAGAATGTGTGTGTATACACACACAAACACACACACACACACACACACACACACACACACACACACACACACACTCCATTCTCTGTTGGACCTGGCCTGTTTATTTCAGTAACCTAGACTTCCTAATATCACTGTAATGACAATAACAAAGGCCAAGTTGTGCTGCAAAAAAAAAAAGTAGTAACTGAAAACTACATTATTATTATTAAAAAGAAATGGCTCCATGGATTGCCTTTACAGGCTGAATTCACATTTAACAAATTTAAAACATGAACTCATATAGTACATATTTAATACCGTTTTCTTGCCTATTCAAACAGTTAAAGATGCAATATGTTTCCCAAGATGTTAATAATGTAACTAAAACACTTTTCATATCATTCAGAATCACACACATCTATATAGAAATCTATAATTCTCTCTGTACTATGTCAAACAGGCTAGCCCTGTGTTTTCCTCTTCACCCATGGGTGAAGTCAGACTGCTGTCACCTACCAGCTTTCGGTGGCTCATGAAGTTCCAGGTGCTGGGGATTTTCAGAATCTGACAACATATTGAGGTCCCTAAAAATTAAGACAGATTATTAAGAAAGACATTGAGGAAGCCTGAAACCAAAGGTACCTTTTCCCATCTGCCTTGATTTTCTTTTCAGGAGGTCAATGAGAAGTGGTTTATGATGTAAAGCAGCTCCCAGGCATGCTCACCCTGCTAACCCAGTACATATTAGCCATGTTGTTAAAAGTCAAAGCTGATAAAAATGATCATTTAAGGTGAAATCTTTATGGATTAAATGCAAGTCACTTCAAAATATGACGCACATTGGGTTCTGGCCTTCTTTCAAATGGAGCGTACTTAAAAAGCATGAAGGGAGGCTGTGACACAAAAGAAACAGTCGCTGGAGTCTCGGCTACACCCTTGCCTTTGATGCAGAGCACAAGAAGGCCAGCAACCTTGTATTCACTTTGTTTTCTTATGCTGAAACTCTTTCTGACTGGCAAAGGTTCCACCTTAACAATTTTAAATCAAAAGAGTCATGAAGAGCCAAAAAATGGAAACAGAAAGATGGGGAAAAACTCACAGTCTTACACATATTTCTGCTTCCCCACTTTGCTGGTTAATGATGCTCTGTACTTCTTCATATGTTTTAGAAGTTAAAGGGATCCCATTCCATTCCAACACTTGCATCCCTGAAAAGACAAATTTGAGTATAAAATCAAACATGTGTGCTATCTATCTTTAGTCTTAGTTCACAGGGCACAAAAGACTTCCTGCGCTTTTAAAAGCAAATCAGCACACCATTTCAGAGAACATCGACTCAATGTTCTCCAGAACATCATGTATTCGGATATGAACTTACCTGAATGTATAATATATGTTTAAGACAACATGCAAACTTTGTTTTAAAAAAACCGATCAGTTCTTACCAAACACATGCATTCTGTTCACACTTCTATAAAGAAAACCATATTGAATAAACAAACAAGTAATTGCAACCATTAGCTTTAGATATTGACTTCCCTATTCCTTTATGGAATGGAGTGGTAAAAAGTCCTAGGATTTCCTGATGACGCTCTGCTCTTGATTTTTGCCCAGATAAGTCAGACTGTGCTTTATGTCTTCCACTTCACTGCGTGGCAGATGTTTCTGAAGAGAACAGCAAGAATGCTGTAGGAAGGTCAGCTTTGTGGGGCTGTGCCCTGTGCAATAGTACAGGCTCTGTATTCAGAAAGGCCCCATGCTCTGCTGTCATCTTGAAAATCGCCTTTTTCATTTTTCACTGAATCTAATAAATTATGTACTCTTCTTGCCTGAGCAAGGCATTTCATTTATGCAATCTTTCTGAAAAGACAATTTTATACAAAAAGGAAATAGTAATATACTTAATATTTAAACATTTTATATCCAGTGTTTTTGGTTCATTTTGTGAGTTGTCAAAATAACTGAAGAGCGCATATTTGACATGATTCATATGGCCATAAAATATAGCTATATGAGATGGATATACATAGCTGAAAATTATCCAATAAGGTACCCAAATATTTCTGAATGTTATCAGCTTAACCCTAGAGAAAATGTCTGTATGCCATTATATAGTAAATGAAAAATAGTAATTACTGATAAATTACATCTTTAATATACTTCATACTCTGTAATTCCCTATTGCTTACTTCAGCACTGGCTCAATGGGAAATTGTAAATATTGTATGGTTGTGTCTTTAATTTTAATGGCATAATATACATTGGGAGGCATGATACCAGTTGCAATTAAATGAAGGAAATGCCTTTATACTAGAGTGGAGTAACAGAAAAAGTCCATCAAAAGGCTCACAATAACACAGAGAAAGACTTTTCTATAACTTACTCTAAGAAAACTTTATCTTCAGATGGGTCTTAGGTTTATTTCAACAATCCCAGCTGTTGTACACAGAAAATAAGAACATTATATAAAAGACGTTGACTCTAAGAATAACTCAGCACAGGGAAAGCAGAAAGCAAAACATCTTTAGAGCTAGGAGAAAAACCTACATTTATTCTGAATTGAAAAATTAGTGCCATAATAATTCAAATATATTACCCCTTACATTTCTACAGAATCATATTCCATGGAAATAGTCAGAGGTCTGTTTTTTCTATCATGTTGACCTGTTCAGGTTTTCACATTTTGGAACAAAGGGAACACTGACAAAACTTAATTATCTAGTGAAATAAAGAATGTCTCTCGTTATAACAAAGGAAAACACATTTTCTATTGTCAGTAACATGGCTGCCCATATTCTTGCCACTATATGTATGTGGTGCTTCTAACTCTGAGCTCTGCTTTGTCCCAGGACAGACATCTACACTTCTTTTTCACTCATCTTTTTTCATGTTAGTCAGTGCTGTGGCAAAAGTTAAAAATATTCTGCCACGTTCTTTGTCTTGGTATGGTATCCATGCTGTTATACAATGAAAACTTTCAGCATAGTTATTTCATACTTCCCATTCCAATGTCCCTCACTTCCTGAAAAAGAATGGAATACAACTTGTATTCATTTTATAAAATATATTTAGAACTATGAGTTAAATATCATGTGATTTCAAACCAATGTATTTGATTCATCACACAAACAAAATGAAGGATAATAACCATAGAATCATCCCAGTGGATACATAAAGAACATTTTATACTATTTTAATAGACTTCATAAAATTAAGAATAACCTTGGTATAGAAGAAATATATGTCATCACAATTTAATATATTTACAATAAGCCAATGGTTAGTATTATAATGACTGGGAAAGACTGAACAATTCTCTTTAGGATATGGAATAGAACAAGGATGCATGTTTACTCGGCATAGGGTTTTAAATGCTAGTTCAGGCAGTCATGCAAGAGAAAGACAGGCAAGGCACTGGGACTTGGGGGTAGCAGTCAAACTCTCACTGCTTGCACACATAATCTTACAACTACAGAAGCACAAATATATTACCAAATAGTGATTTAAGACCGATAAATTTAGTAAAGTTGCAAGATACAGGGTCAACATACAACACTCAGTAGCATTGCTATAATGACAGTGTATTAACTGAAATAGAAATCAGGAAAGCAAACTCTTTCATAATGTTACAAAATTTAAAGAATAAAGCAGCCAGAAATAAATTTATTCAATTATGTGAAAGATCTTTAGAATAAAAAGTATAAAGCAGTTATGAAAGCCATTGATGAGGACACAAACAATTGGAAATATAATTATATGGCCACAATCTTCAAGGATCAATGATGTTAAAAAATGTTGATGTTTCCAAACTCTCCTGCAGACTCAAAGCAACCTCTATTAAATATCAAAAGCACTGTTCACAGAAGAGATAGAATTTTAAATACATTTGGAAGTCCAAAAACTCCCAAACACAGATATCCAACTTAGAAAAAATTGAAGCAGAAAGTACTGTACTACCACACTCAAAGATACATGATACATTTGTCAACTGTGAAACTCTACAAGCCAATTTATGTTAACTAACTAATATGCACAAAACCTTTTGGAAAAACTTAATTTGTAGGTATTCCATAGAGTATTATTTTAGCATTTAATGATTCAGATATATTTTCAATCTTAAAGTACATCTTTTACTAGATTATAGAAAATTTCCAAGAAAATACTATGTCTGCAAATCATGCTAACTACTTAGAATTAAAAGCAAACATTAATATTTTCATGTATTTAAGTTATATCAAGATATATTTTAAGTGATCTGTCAAATAGAAACTTCACAGATGACACTACAATGATATCCACAGATAGTGCCTAGTACACCCGCTACCGGCATAAAAACCAAGACAAAGTCTTAATTTTTTCCAGATGCGTAACAGTGATAATTTACTGTTCAAACTTATAAAATCAGTAAATCACCGGGGCCATCAGGGGAGTGAGACATCTTAAGAAAGGAATAATGGAAAGGACAGGGTAATGTGACATGAAACAGAAGGAAAGGCAGTTTGGGGAAGGAAGGGACCAGTAAGAAAGACACATAGGGCACTGGGGAGGGAATTGTGGTAGAGGGGTGGATTAGAACAGAGCATAATGACACATGTGTGTGCAAGTGCTGTAATGAAATCCAGTAGTATGGTTCCTTAAAATTAATTTTAAAATCTTATTGAAGTATTAGGTAAATGGAATATATTATCAATTAGAAACCGGTATAGGGTTTTAGACTAGTGTTAGAAAATGAGTAAATCCCTTCAGATGTTCTAGTTTAATCTGTTATAAAAAAAGACACAGAAGAGCTTAAATTATTTGTATAAAATGATACAGTTACTGGCTGTATACAAATATAATCTTCAACAATCTTCTAGGTCAATGCTAGTATTAGTAAATAGGAAAATACTTTCAGTTTATGCTTACTAATACTACATTTAGCTCTACTGAATACAACAGATGTTCAAATCTATAAACTTGGCACAAAATACACAAATTATTTACGATGTCATTTTAATTATAATAAAGCAAGATAACTTAGAGAGTATTACTTATACAATATTAATTGAAGTTGCAGACATTTAGAAACTGAAGATATTAGTGAATAAACAGGAACCTGATATGTGCTATATGATTTTAGGGTCAGCAATGAAAGGAGCAAGGCTGATGGAGCTGCTCATCTCTTCTCTGTCCCTCTGCTAGAGAGAAGCAAGTATCACCCTGTCTAAGCATGCTGTTACTATACAATGCTGATAGGATGCAATCCTATTATCTGATGGAAAGTAAACCACACAGGAAAGATTCATGAACTTAAAGTAGGGAATCAGTTTTAGCAAAGATATTGTGGTTGAGCTTTTCAAAAGCATTAGGAACTATCATTCTGTTTGCTTGTGTGGTCCGTGGAAGATGGCACTACCTCAAAGAAAAATTGCTACAAGATGTCCTTAAGTTCTATGGCTTCCATTGTATCCAGAAATCTTGTCAACACAAGAGCACAGTAAGGCAGTCACCTATCCTGGAAGAAGTGCTTTGGCTTTGACAGGGCATTCTCAGTACTGTGGATTATTCTCAATGTTCTAGAATGTACAATCCCTAACTGGATTTTTTTTTAACTGAATATATGACAAAAAACACCAATTATGGTTGCGACGCCTTACTCAGCCTTGATACAAGGAGAAGGGGCTAGGTTGGGCCCCAACTTGGTATGCCAGCCTGTGTTCACTACCCAAGGGAGGCCTTACCCTCATTGAGGAGGTGATGAGGGTAGGATGGAGGTAGGTGGGGGTGGAATGGGAGAAGGGCAGGGAAGTGGAAGATTCTAATATTCTTATTATTCTTAAAAGCAGAAAGAGAATGGGAATTGGTAGGAGACTGAGACTGAGGGAAATGGGAGATGATGGTCAATGTATTGAATATTTCAGTTACAGGAAAAATGATTTTGGGCAACTAGCATTCACAATGAGCGTAGTTGGTATTACTCTACTATGTCCTTGAAATTTGCTGAGTAAATCTTAAATTTCTTCACCAATAAATAAATTATATATAATGTGAAGTATGTGCTAATTTGCTTAATTGATAATTAAGTTTATGTACATGTGTATCAGCCTAAGAAAGTAATATAGTACAGATAGTTTTTGAGAAGAAATTAAAACATATTTGGCTGTTTAGTATTGTTCATTATGTATATTATATTGATAAACTGCCTGCCATGTGCTATTTGAGCTCACTGAGAAGCTGGCTCTTGAAGCAGGGCTGAGCCTTACCCCCGCTTTCAGACTCCAACATGTTTTGTAAAAGTGTCTTTTGATGCCCTTCAGCTGAGGAGGGGTTGCTCCCCCACCCCAACTGGGACAGAAACACTCAAGAGCAAAATCCTTGTGTTCTTGAAACAGCAAGAAGCTAAGGCATTTCCAGCAGATGTTCCTGCTGTTTGTCATGTGATACAAAAGTGCCTGCTGTAGGAAAGGGAAACTGGAAGTCCAGCTATGGATTCTCATCCAGGCACAGAAAGCTCAAATGGGAACTCAGCTCAGCTTCCCTAGATGGTTTCTGCTGGATATGAGCGTCTCATTTGATGTTTTAATCTTTATCTGCAGCTATTTGTTATTTTACTTGGAGGGAACATTCTGCTCTGCCTGGTACTCTACATGAGATCTCACGGGACTCTCCAGCTTGCTGAATTCAAGTGGCTCCCTCACAATGTTTCTGTTGGGTGTTTGTAAGCCTCCAGATTTGATGATTTTACCCTTTTTTATTCTCTCAATTTTCTTTCACTAATTTTCTCTACTGGCTGTTTTGAATGCCCAATTTGATGATGTTCTTCTATCTGTCTGCTACTTGTCATTTATTCTTTTACTTTTTGCTTGGTATATGCTTATAAAGTCACTCAATCAAAACTGAAAGGATGGCTCTGTTACTCCAGAGCCAGTCTCTCAGTCTCATCCCTATCTCTGCAACAGATCTCCAGCTGTATCTTCCTTCACATGCCCAAATCTCCTGAGGATCCCACAGATCTTCCCCTCCTAACCTCCTCTTCAGCACTGTAGTCTAGCCCCCAACTCAAGCAGGCATGTCTGGCAGAAAAACAGCCTCTAATACCAGCAGGCATTCCATGTGAACACACCAGCAGAGCAGTCCAGTTTAACAGGCAGCACACAGCCATCACACTCTGAAAACTCAGAGAGGAAACAGAAACTAAGGAACAAAACACCCACCCAACAAAGACAAAAATCAGAAATCAGCACCTAGACCTTTGCTCATCCCAAACCCAGATGCCTAGACACCAGTGTAAGAACACAATCAGTAACAGCCAGGGTATTATGTCTCCACCACAGTTCAGCTATCCTACCACACCAGGCCCTGAATATTCCAAGATAGCTGAAGCCAAGAAAAAGACCTCAAAACCAACTATATGAAGATGATAGAAATTCTTAAAGACGAAATGAACAAATCCCCTAAAGAGAGCCAAGATAATATAAACAAACAGCTGAAAGAGACAAAACCAAACCAAATTAAAAAAAAAAAAAAAAAAAAAGACAAGACAAACTGCTCAAGACCGGAAAATGGAAATATAAACTACAATGAAAGCAAAATGGAGGGAATTCTGGAAATGGAAAATTTTGGAATTTAAACAGGAACTATAGAGACAAGCTATGAATTATTTATCGTTCTAAAGTTGGGATGCTATTGACTAAGCTTCCTCAAGTAAAATAGCTGGATAAAATTTGTATAAAGGTGATATTGATATTGTGACATGAAAAGATTTATTATCATTGATCTAGATATAAAGATCCCAAATGATAGTACCCAGATGTTCCTGAGAAGCCTTTCACAGGAGAGGTGGACAAACACTGGACAGCATCAGACCTAAAATGTATATTGTGAACAAGTTGCCACTCATATCACACCTGAAAGACAATATCAATTCTATAAAGGCTTACAGTACATACTTTGATATGTAGAAATACAGAGAGCCAAAATCTAGAAGAGATGAGCAATCCTTAAGTTTATATTGAACACATTAAGCAAAGAAATTCAATTATCTGAACAAATATATGTAAATGAAATAAGTCATCTACTACCTATTGACCCATTTATTCACACATAAACTCTTTCCTTAGAAAAGCAATCTAAAACACTGTGAAAATTACCCTCATTGCCTTGAATAAATAGGTTTCAAAGATGTAATAATTTTTTAACATTAAATGATAACAGAACCTCTAGTGCTATATGTTTGGCATTTGAGTAATACTTCATACAAAGAATAAAAATCAAAGATGCACCACAACTGCTCCGAAAGTCTTTGAGACCTGGTGTATAGTGTATTCTCTGAGAAGTTAATGCTGAAGTGCAAGATACCATGTATGAATTAGACATATAGGTATTGACTATTGACGAACAAAATACTGAAATGCACACACACACACACACACAGAGAGAGAGAGAGAGAGAGAGAGAGAGAGAGAGAGAGAGAGAGAGAGAGAGAGAGAGAGAGAATAAAATAAAGGCATTCCAAAAGAAATAATAATAATAAAAAAGAAATAATCAACCAAAAGAGAGAGTGAATTTATAGCATTTGGCTCTTTCCACATTAAACTGCCACGACCAACTGAAAGTCATGTTGTGGATCTGAATGTGAAGCTGGAAGAGCTGTACTCAGGCTGCTTCAATGAGCTGTACCAACGGCCCAAGCACAAACTTGATGAATAAATCTTGTGTAGAGTGTGTGTAAATTCTATAATAATAATTTATCAAAATAGGCAAGGCCCGTGTGTGTAGGTTCCAACACATTTCACTGAAAATGACAGTGAATCAATTTTAAAGTAGTTAAAGACAGCAAGCAATAGCTGGCACCATTTAAATCAAGAAGTGAAACTAAAACACTTTTTCCAAATAAATACTTTATTTAGAATAAAGTAGAGAGGTTATAAATATTTTTGTGATAAGCAAATGCTCACTATAAACAATATCACTGAATCTCATGAGCTATATGTATATATAGCTACATAAATGTATATATAGCTCATGAGTATTGCATGTATATGCTATAGAATTTGTATTCAGAATGGTTACACTATCTCATAGAAAAATAGAATTATCATCATAATGTATTTTGAGAACCCATCTATAAATTTACTGTGTAAAGATGATGAAATACATGTTATTTTAAAATGTCCACAGCGAGGTGACTAGTATCTAAAAGTGAACAGTACCACATATAAATGTTGGCAAATTTCTGAAGTAAAGCGAATTGTGGATGTCACTGAGCATGGACTCTCTGTCCCTGCTATTGCAGCAGGAAAGCATGCCTGTTCCTGTCTAAGTTAGCAATCCTGGCTATGTTCCAAAACACACTGTTGACAAGAAGAGGAGGCAGATGGATTTGGCTTGTCAGCCATCTGTAGCTGGAGACCTGACCTTAGCTTCCATTGGATTTGTTTACATTTTCAAAGCTGCTTTCAGTCTGATTTTTCTTTTTGATAATAAAATTTTAAACTAGATTATTAAAGGTTTTAAAAAGTACCCATCAGTAAAAATGTTGACTAATTGGGTTTTTAAGTAAAGTATACCAGTAGCTAATAAACTGCCAAAAGAGCAATGTGAGTGAAAGTAAAATTATGTTATTGTGAATACATTTCCTGTGATATCATAATACATTATAACATTGCTATGCCACAATTTCATCACCATTAATTACAAGATTTTGTGATACAAAATGTAAACAAATTTGCACATTAATTTTCATACAAATAAAACATATGTAATATGAGTACATTCATTGTGTTTTACCATGGAGTTTCTAATCCTTACCTTCTACAAGTTTCCCCGTGTGTTCCGCACTTCCACCAGGAAGAATCTTAGCAATATAGGCTCCAATTTCTCCACTATGTCCAGGGATTTCTTTACCACCAACAATTCTAATTCCTAGCCCGTTACCTATATTTAAAAATTAGCAAACTGTTAGTAATAATTCGAGAAGTAAACACTTATCAGAAGTAGGTTACACAAAAAGTGGATTAAATACCCAGAAGCCCAGTCCAACACTAAGAGTTGAAACTAGACTTCAATAACAAAATTACATTATTCTGATTCAAAAATAGATAATAATACATAAGGTTATTGGGACTTAAGTATAATCTACAGTAATGAGATTATCATTGAACACTTTCTCAAAGTTGGTCATATTCATTCAAATAGTAAATGCTCCCAAATTAAACCAGATACATATATATATATATATATATATATATATATATATATATATATATGTACTCTTCACTTCCAACTTTAATCCCCACTGTGTATTGCTTGTGGCACAAGAATGTTGTTTCAGATTATGAATAACTTAGTCCTGGTTCTTTACTCCATAACCAGATTGTTCTATAATTACCCATCAATAATTATGACAAACAATTCTGATACACATGAACTTTTGCAACCTAAGTTGGTGTGCTGTTTCTAAATAAGCTAAAAACAAGTGAGTACTTGTAGTACCAGGTATATTTCTGTGACAAATTTTAAAGGCTTTGTAGTAAAATGTAATATAAGAAAGCAGAACTCTTAATGTCTAATGAAGACACAATTACCTATTAATTTATGTGAATTTTATTACATTTGATATTAGAAATACAATTCTTAAAGCTTTTCAGTCTCAAAATCCTGCTCCTTTCTCACTTTATTCTTCAAAAATAATGACTTGGCCCGTGTCTGCACAGTTCAAGGTTATACAACTAACTGTACTAAATCATGGGATCTTTCTGTCACTTCTAAAGCAAAGATGTATTTTAGTATAACACACCCTTCCAGTTCATGTGATAAAATAGATGAACTTCCTCCCGCCTCCTCACTTCCTTCCTTGTTTCCTTCATGTCCCGCCCCTCTTTCTTCCTTTCCTGTCTCTCCCTTGTTTACCCCAGTCTTCTTTTGTCACTCCACCTTTTTCTCTTGTTTTCTCTTTTCTCACTTCTTGTTTTCTCCATTTCTCCCCTGCCTTCCATCCCATATTTAAGTCAGAATAATCAAAATTAGTAACCTGCTTCTAAATGTTCTGTCATTAAGGATTCATGGTGAAGCAAGATACTGACTCTTTCTAGTTCCACATTTAGAGATTTTTCTGTTCCAAGGTTCATGGCTCAGCATGACTTTTTTAGTAATTATTTTATGCAACAAATTTAACATAATTGAAATAAATCTGGTAAATAACACTCAAGTAAATCTGGGTCTAACCTGGTGAGTCTTTGGAATTTAGACTTTATGAAGTCATCAGGATAGAATCTACAATAACACTAGAGATACTTGTCAATCATATAGTAGATAAAATAGTATTAGCCAGTCTTTAATCAACTAATCTAGCCCATGTTTACCAATATACTAAGCATGTTTTAGAAATTACTAAAAGTTTCATAAAATATTAAAAGTTTGTATAATAACATAAAGTAGGAAAGTAAAAAGTCTTAGGAAGGAAAACTAGGTTGTTTTTACACTAACTTGTATATCATGAAAGCTAATTGAATTTGTATGTTTTTTGAAAAATAAAATTTAGATCTTTGGACATTGTGTGTTACATTTCCATAAAACTAAAATATCCCTCTTCAAGTATAGAAACTATGATGTCAATGTAAGTCGTTGAATGGAAAAATACAGTAGTTTTAAACTAAAATGACTGGAATTAAAGGGCCCATAATATGTAGTATTTATATTAGCAATTTTCAGCTTTTTGTATTTATTTTTTTAGTGTGTAGACATGCATATGAGAGGTGTGTGTTTCTGTATGTAAGCATGTGTGTGCAAATGTGTGTGTGTGTGTGTGTGTGTGTGTGTGTGTAAGCCATGATAATCATGTGGAGGTCTCATGATGACTTGTGGGAGATGGTTTTCTCCTTCTACCATAGGTTCTGGGACTGAATTCATGTTATCAGGCTTGGTGGCAAATACATTTACCATTTGAGCCATTTGACTGGTTCCATGTTTATATAATGTGAGACCAAAATGAGTCATCTTAGAAATAAGACCAAAATGCTTTCACCCAAAAATTAAGGCCTAAGATTTCTCCTTTTAGGAATAGGCTATTAGTTACTGAAACCAGTCAGTTCAGACTCCAGAAACCAGGAAGTGTAAAAGTACAGAGTCACAAGGTAGTCACGAGGTAATGCCTGCAGGACTATGGAATGTCCTCTCCCTGGTTTCCAAGGTAACCGACCACAGTAATGCCCCCACCTGAGGGCAGCCAATGAGAAATGGTGGCGGGCAACCACTCCCTTAGAAGTAAGATTAAGTCATGATTTCTAGAAAGCCCCTAGAAGTGAGCCAATCAGAATTGTACCCGTACTAGCACCCCTAAATGATGTAACCTTGTGATTTTTTTCCTTTAAAAACTGAGCTTGCAGGCAAGTGGGCACTTCCTCCAGCCTCCACTGCTTTGGATGTATTGGATGAAGTCCCTGCCTAGGCTTGTATATCCAGAATTAAACCTTGCTTTTGCATTCCAGCATGCTCGTCTTTGGTGGTCTCTCTGAGGGTCGCGATCTGGGCACAACATATAACTTTTGACATTTTTTTAAGGAAAAACCCTAAACAATCTCCTTTGTCATTCTATTTAGTTATGTAGAAGCACTGATTAACACTCTCTTAGTAGGAGGTCACAAAATACACAGGACTTGATTTCACAGTGTGACAGGAGAAAGAAACATATGAAACAACAACAATTAATATGAAGACTATAATAGCTTTAACAAAAAAAGAAAAGAAAGAAGTTAGAATTTTAAGTAGAGCAAGTCTTACAGGGTCAATTACAATTCACAACACATTAAAGTGTACTAGGACAAGCTCAATGATAGAGCCAGCAAAGCAGTAAGAAAAGGCGTTATTATTAATGTGCCTAGAATTATAACAGAAACGGATTGATTGTCTCTATACATATTATAAATATTTGATACATATACTGAGATATTAGGTTGATGGAATCACTTTTAAAATAACTTATGCATAAAAGTGAGCATATTTAGGGAAAACTATATTCCCATGTGAGTTCACGGTTTGAAGATGATTTAATTGTATATGTTTATCAATATGTTACATTAAATTCTTTAAATGCCACAAAGAGGGCTTTTGTGCCATTTAAAATAATACATGAAAATATTAAGAGATTTTAGAGCATTTAGTTTGGGCAAAATTAAAGTACTGGCTTCACTTCATTTTTATTATTACATGATGCATCTAAGGATCAGGGGAATTTGTATGATTTAAATGTTATAACTTATGAATAATTATTCTAACAAATTATATTTGTCCATAAAAACTTAAAGAATATAAATGTATTACACAGAGTTTTGTCTTTAGTTTGAGAAAGAAAAATCAGATATCAACACAAATATTAATGCTTATGAAGTGTGAAGGACAAAGTAAATGTCTCCGAATACTGTTTACATTAGGTCAATTACATCATCTTTTATGTACGTTAAATATTAATTGTACTCTTAAGGGAATGAACATTTGTTTTTGTACTTTTCATTTATGAATTTCTGTTTTAAACTATAAATGTAATTACTTAGAAAAGCAAACTAAATTATACTAAAATCAATAGTAATGCATCATGAAAAAGAAAATGTTACAGTTTGTACATGGATACTGAAATATGAGGAGTGAAAGAATAGTTCATGATGTTTCTTTAATTAAAAATAATTCTGCTTGGTATAAGAGAAACCTTCCTAAAATGCATAGTGATTCCTTAATTACAGTCCACAGATGATACCTTCCTGAAAGCAAGAATGTGAAACACACAAAGCCAGTCCACCTGAAAACCGAAGAGACCAGTTTTAATCTCAGGTATTCCCATTTGCTTTTTCTTATACAGGCATTACTGCTTAGAATGCTGCCCTCCACCAGAATTTTAAATATGTATGTGTGTATGTATGTATGTATCTTATTTTTCTATCTATGAAAAGATGTTTCCTTTTTCAAAGATATGAAGACAGTATTTGTTTTCTATTTTTAAACTTTACTTCATATTTGTCTTTTCTAATTATATACATTTATCATGTTAATGAAAATGTTATAGGGGACTCGGGACTCAAAAGGTTTAAAAGGATATCCCCATTCATAACACACAGAATGAGATAAATCCAATTTCCTGCTATATATCTGAAACAACCATTGACATGGCACATAAAAAAAAAAACCATGTCAGAATGTAGAGCAGAGGGCATTTGTATTTTGGCTTTGTTGATCAAGTTTTCAAATGACATATCATGAGTATGCTGTTATGGCAAGCCACAAGAATATGTTATAAGGAGTCCAGCTGTGTATTAAAGCTATACTTTGGCCAAGGGTCTGTCAAAAGGCAAGCCATTTATTATGAATATTTGGTGTTATCCAGCTTTTAATATTTCAGCTGTCTTCTGCTATGAAATTCTTGTGTGTCCAAATATTCCCAGACCATTTGGCAAACAGTTCGGCTCCTCAGACCTGCTGAACTTCTAGGTAACTAACTCCCTACTTCTGAGCCTAGGAGACAAGCTGGCAGGAGACACATAGCTTTGTTTCTTATGCTAATGAAGTTTAGACTATCCTCTTGCTTTGAGGCTTAGTGGCTCTCCAGAGCAATTGACTGAGAACAAAAGAGGTTTTTACATATCAAGGTGGAAGGTAGGGTGGAGCAACATTCCTGAGGAGGCAGAAGGAACAGGCGATTTTCTATAGAGGCACACAGAACTGCATGACTAGGGAGAAGAGAAAAACACAGAGGTTTGGTTGATGGTAAGGCAGAACTCTTATAGAGTTTGTCAGAGCCAGGAGTAGAGAGCAAGCAGAGATGGAGGGCAAAGAAACAGAGGGTGAAAATGAGGCTGAAAGCATAAGAGCTTAGTCGTTAGCAGGACTTTGAGAGGGCAGTAAAAGAGAGGACAAAGAGAAACTGTGTCAGAATGGAACTGAAGCTA